ATGGGACAATGCTTTTTTATTCAGGGGAGAATACTTCTTGGCTTTCAGATGGAACATAACACAGTTTTGCAATAATAGATACAAAACACTCAAGTTATATAATTTAAAAAAGAGGATTTCAACATGAGCTGAAAATAAAAGCATCGTGCATCAGATGCAATATGAAGAGAACATTAAAGCATATAACATCATATGCATTTCTCGATCAACATGTAGGAATGTATCATAGACTCTTTTGAAAAATATTATAGAATCTGTAACACGACCTTCTAGATTCACAGCAAAGAAAGAGACGGAGAATAACATTTGTAAACGTTACATAGAAATATAAATAATCTCAGAAATTGTGTTACCATTTTTGCCTCCCGTCCTAGCATCTTTTTTCATTTTCTACGTTGTCTGTACCCTCCCTCCCCCCTTCTCTCTCTCTCTCTCTCTCTCTCTCTCTCTCTCTCTGTCTCTCTTTCTCTCTCTTTCTCTCTCTGTCTCTCTGTCTCTCTCTCTCTCTCTCTCTCTCTCTCTCTCTCTGTCTCTCTTTCTCTCTCTTTCTCTCTCTGTCTCTCTGTCTCTCTCCCAATCTCTCTCTTTCTCCCACTCTCTCTCTGTTCTCTCCCCCACTCTCTTTTTCTTTCGTTAAGCTTTCTCTCAATCTCTCTCTCTCTCTCTCTCTCTCTCTCTCTCTCTCTCTACCGTTCTCCCCCTCTCTCTCCCCCCCTCTCTCTCTCTCTTTTTCTCTCTCAATCTCTCACTCCATCTCCCCCATCCTTCTCTTTCTCTTTCTCCTTCTCTCTCTCTCTCTCTCTCTCTCTCTCTCTCTCTCTCTCTGTCTCTCTAAATATCTCTCCCCATCTCCCCCCTCCTTCTCTTTCTATTAGTTTCGGTTCAATATTCAACCCTTCTTTTCTCATGGATATAATTTCCTAGGACAAAGTTGTCTCCAACTAAATGGTTTTACTTGTGGGTTCATTGTAAATGACACGGGTAGAAAAGAGAGAATATTTTACATCAGATATACAATGGAAACTTAGAAAACAGTAGAGTAGAACTTCAATGGCTACGCTTTAGACTTTGTATTAACATAATGAGAAACATGTTGTTACTTATTATTCTCCAATATTTCACTTTGATCCAGAACAGTTCAGACCTTTGCTATAACCATACTGGCGTGAATGAACTGCTGCATCTATCTATCTATCTATCTATCTATCTATCTATCTATCTATCTATCTATCTATCTCTTCATCATTCAATCCCTCTATCTACCTATCTGTCTATCCTGTTTTCTTAAATGTCTCTTCTGTGATTTCGGAGAAAAAAATATTGTTTTTTGAGCTGTTAGAAATCAAGAGCTGAGAGAGAAAGGAAGGCTGACGCAAGGGAAATGCGCGATATGAGGTTTATTTTTGTTGTTGTTTGGGGATGTTTTTCTCTCGTTTTTCTATTGTGTTTTGTTTTTTAATTGTTACGCATGGAATGTCTGAGGGGTGCTGTCTTTGAAGGCATAAACATTTCACCCAGTGCACGAACAGCATGAGTTAGATGACATAAAGAACCTTATGTAAAGAAAACCCCGAAATAAAATGAAGGATTACTGCGGTGGAATGTAGTTTGCAGGAAGCTGTTTGATCTTTTGTTATCTTTTTGGTATTTTGCTTTTGTTAATTTTTGTGAGTCTCAATTTATATATTACAAGCATATATTTTTGTATTGTAAATGGTTAATGGATCAGCTTGTTATGAATAGCAATTTCTCTTTTTTGCAAAAGCTACGGATTACCATATTCTCCGTCTATATTATGTTGTCGTAAATAGATTATTTATGTGTCTCTCTCTTTCTGTCTGTCTTTCTCTCTGTCTTTCCCTGTCTTTCTCTCTCTTTCTCAGACAAATACACACACTCTCTCTGTCTCTCTCACTCAATCTCTCCCCCACTCCCCCCCTCCCTCCCTCTCTCTTTCTGTCTGCTATAACAAATGTATAATAAATGTTGGGGTTTTCTGTTTTTCTTTCCCTCTCTCTTTCTTTCTGTCTTGCTGCC